CAATTTGTAATCGAGTATTTTCCTCATCTGTTTCTCAACAGAGTTTCTTTGAGCCCCTTAGGTTATCACGCAAAGGCCTGATTTCATTGGATAGACCTAGACCTAAACACTAGCCTTTTCCTGCACCTGCCAAATGATGATTTAAAGGAGCTGTATCAATTACAGGAGCAGACAAGTATTACTGTCTTCCACGACCCCCGGCCCAGCAGGGCAGGAGTGTGAGGTGCATCCTTGCGAGGCAGTACCGTCAGAGGCTGTGTTTACAAGCAGAGTACCGGTCTCTATTCTATTTTGTAGGTTCTTTTAACTCTACAAAAGAAAAAGAAAGCGACTTGTCTTCATCAAACTACAGTTGCTCGTGGTCTGTCTACATACCGAATCCTAGTGTAAAGGCCCACAGCCGTTCCACACACCCCTTTTCTTTTTCAAGTGGAAATTAAATATTCAGGATCTACACTCTCAGCTGCAGTCCAGCGGGCGCAATCTTTCAAAGGGCTAGAATATCAGCTAGTTGACCTTATTTGAATGTAAATACACTAAAAAAAATTTTAAACGATAAAAAAGACAGGGTCTCGCTGTGTAGCTCTGGTGATTCTGAAACTCGCTCTGTAGAGCAGGCTGACCTGAACTCACGGAGATCCGCCAGCCTCTGCCTCCCAGATTAAAGGCGTGCACCGTCATGCCTGGCTCTGAATGCAAATATCTTTACTTCTAAATTAATTTTGCTTATATTAGTTAAAATTGTCAAGTGACAAGGAAGGTTCTGTGAACTCATATTTACAAAGACCTTGAACCTGACATCCTGAGAAGCGATTTCCCTTGCCACCTAAAGCAGGCATGAATGACTGTAATTTTGCCCATCTTCACTGGGGCCAGGTTAGGAAGTGGTAAGGGAGCCGGGCCCACTTGTTGACAGTGAAGGTGTCCTGGGCTCTCTCACACACAGAGACTTTCTGGAATGGCTGGGTGTGCAATAGAGAGCCCAGAGACTAAGGACACACCTGCTGGGATTTGTGTGAACAATGGGTGTGCAATAGAGATTGCAGAGACTGTGGACACACCTGCTGGGATTCGTGTGAGCACTGGGTGTGCAATAGAGATCCCAGAGACTGAGGACACACCTGCTGGGATTTGTGTGAACACTGGGTGTGCAATAGAGATCCCAGAGACTGAGGACACGCCTACTGGGATTTGTGTGAACACTGGGTGTGCAATAGAGATCCCAGAGACTGAGGACACACCTGCTGGGATTTGTGTGAACACTGGGTGTGCAATAGAGATCCCAGAGACTGAGGACACGCCTACTGGGATTTGTGTGAACACTGGGTGTGCAATAGAGATCCCAGAGACTGAGGACACACCTGCTGGGATTTGTGTGAACACTGGGTGTGCAATAGAGATCCCAGAGACTGAGGACACGCCTACTGGGATTTGTGTGAACACTGGGTGTGCAATAGAGATCCCAGAGACTGAGGACACACCTGCTGGGATTTGTGTGAACACTGGGTGTGCAATAGAGATCCCAGAGACTGAGGACACGCCTACTGGGATTTGTGTGAACACTGGGTGTGCAATAGAGATCCCAGAGACTGAGGACACACCTGCTGGGATTTGTGTGAACACTGGGTGTGCAATAGAGATCCCAGAGACTGAGGACACGCCTACTGGGATTTGTGTGAACACTGGGTGTGCAATAGAGATCCCAGAGACTGAGGACAC